CTTTTTTTGGTCTGTTCATTTCCTTCCTTTTCCCTTTATAATAGTACATTTACTGTATTTAGTATCTAATTTCCCAAACTACTCAAAAATATCTCTCTCATTTTATACTTGGATTAAAAGAAATTATGGAGAACATTTTCAAAACTTCTTTTTAGGGGCTGGGAATGTGGCTCAAGCGGTAGCGTGCTCGCCTAGCATGCGAGCGGCCTGGGTTCGATCCTCAGCACCACGTACAAATAAAGATGTTGTGTCCGCCAAAAAATAAAAAAATAAATATTAAAAATAATTTTCTCTCTCTCTCTATCTCTCTCTCTCAAAAAAAAAAAAAAACTTCTTTTTAAAGCCAATTAGTATAAGGCTTCATTCTGAAGTAATTGCAGATAATAGAGATTACTAACTGTCTCTCAAAGTGGAGCTTGATACTAAACTCAGCAGCAGGTACACACTGAGTAGGAATACTGACACTTGGATTCACTCAGACTAGGATACTTAGTAAAGAGAAACCACTGACCAAAAAGTTTCTTCTATAAAAGTAAAATAATCATCCCAGCAGATGGGTAGAAATACTAATTATATCAAAGTGCAAAGAAATAAATCACCCCAAGTAGCTCACAAGAATTCAACAACTGACCCCACTGACACTATGATGGAGGAAATTTCAAATAAGGAGTTTAGAAAGTTGATACTTAAAATGATCAATAAACTAAAAGAATATCTAAAAAAACAAACTATGAGAAAATTCAGGAAATGAAAGAACATTTCAATAAAGAGAGAGACTCTGAAAAAAAACCAAACATAAATCCTAGAAATGAAAGACTCAATCAGTCAAACTAAAACTTCAATTAAAAGCATCATCCACAGATTAGACCACACAGAAGACCCATTTTCAGGCCTCAAAGACAAGGCATATAATCTTGAAAACAGAGTCATCAATAAAGAAAATATGTAAACAGACCATGATCAGAATACTGAAAACAACTGAGATAATCTACAATCATTGGCTTAGAAAAAGGCAGCAAGATATAAAGTAAAGAAATACAGAAACTTTTCAGTGACATACTATCAGAAAATTTTCTAAACCTTGTGGATGATATGAAAATCCAAATAAAAGAGGTATTTAGAACTCCAAATAGACAAGATCAAAAAATACCCTAAGACAAAATGTAATTAAAATGTCTAATATACAGATACAGAAGGATAGAATTCTAAAAGCCACAGGAGAAACAACATGGGTAATACTCAGAGATGATTCAATTAGACTTTCTGCTAACCTCTCAGTTCAGACTCTAAAATCCAGGAGGCCCTAGAAAATATATACCAATGATTGACTGATAATGGTTGCCACCAAGGTTGCTGTATTCAGTAAAATTATCCTTCAGAATTAAAGATGAAATATAAACCTCCCTAGATAAGCAGAAACTAAACAAATTCATAACTTCTAAGCCAGCTCAACAGAAAATACTTAGTGAAATATTACATGCAGAAGAAATTAAATAAAAACCATCTCTCTATAACACTGAATGTAAATGGTCTCAACTCTCCAAGTAAAAGAAGTGAACTGGCACAGTAGATTTAAAAACATGACCCAAACATATGTTGTTTATAAGAGACTTATCTACAGGCAAAGACATTCACAGGCTAAAGGTAAAAAATTAGAAAAAGATATTTCATGCAAACGAGACTGAAAGCAAGCAGGAGTACCTACTCTCATACCTGACAACATAGACTTCAAGCCAAAATTCATCAAAAGAGACAAAGACGATCAGTTTATACTGGTTAAGGGAACTATCCAACAAGATATAAAGATTTTAAATATTTATGTCCCAAATATCAATGCTAGTAATTACATAAAATAAGCTCCACTTGACAAAAGGCTCACAGAGACCCCCAATACAAAAATAGTGTGTAATTTCAATTGACCACTCTCACCAAAAGATAGATCATCCAGACAAACTAAGTAAAGATTCTTCAAAAATTTAAAAAAAAAAAAATACTATTAATCAAATGGACCAAACAGATATCTATAGCAACAACTGAAATCACTTCTCAGTTGAACATGAAACATTCTCAAAAACAGACCATATTTTAGGACACACAAAAACTCTTATGAAATACACATACACATAAAATAACAAGTTAATTTCTTGCATCTTATTAGACTATAATAGAATGAAATGAAAAATTAATAACAAAAAAATCAATTTAACGTGGAGATTGCATAATATGCTTTTAATCAAGGAATGGGTCACAAAAAAAATAGAGGGAGAAAATGTTCTTAAACAAGTGAGAAAAGAGAAACAATATATTAAAATCTCTAGGATTATATAAAAGCAGTTCTAAGAAGAAAGTTTATAGTATTGAGTGTCTACATAAAAAATAAAGATAGCAAATAAATATTCTAATGTTAAATCTCAACATGCTAGAAAAGCAAGAACTAATTCCTAAAACAGTAGAAGACAGAACAATTCTCAAAGTCAAAATTGATAATAAAAAAGATACAAATGATCAACACAACAGAGTTGCTTCTGTGAAAAGATAAACAAGATTGTTAATTCCCTTAGCCAAACCAATCAAAAGAAAAAAAAAAAGTTAACATTAGAGGTGCAAAATAAGACATCACCACAAATATTTCTGAAATCCAGGGTCATTAGCAACTATTTTTCAAAACTTATAATAAAATGGAAAATCTAGATAATGTTGACAAAATTTCGAGACACATATGACCTACCAAAACTGAACTAAGATGTTATGGAAATCTAAACAAACAAATATCAAGCAACAAGACTAATTTTAAGTCTTCCAACAAAGAAAATTCACTACATAGAGAGTTAAGGATAAACATCACATGATCATTTCAAAACAGGCAGAAAAACCTTCCAACAAAATAATGCACTCATTCATATTAAAAACACTGAAGACAGTAAGGATAGAATGAACTTATCTAATATCATAAAGGATATATATGATAAACATAAAGATGACATCATATACAATGGAGGAAAAAGTCAAAGTGTTTCCTCTAAAATCAAGAACAAGGTAAGGATGTCCACCCTCATCACTCCTATTCAACATAGTTCATAAAAACTCTCACCAAAGCAATCAGGCAAGAAAAAAAATTAAAGGGATACAAATAGAAAACTAAATCAGCAAAGTACCTCTACTTGCTGATAACATGAATCCTATACTTAGAAAACCCCCAAAAAATCAAAGACTTTTACAGCTGAAAAACAAATTCATCAAAGTAGCAGGATACAATAGCAACATACAGAAATGAATAGCTTTCTTATACTCCACTAATGAGCTGAGAAAAAATAAAGAAAATAATTCCATTTATGAAGCCTCAAACAGAATAAAATACTTGGTAATTAATCTAATCAATGAAGTGAAAGATCATGATAATAAAAATTATAGAATAAGAAATTTAAAGATTAAAGATCTCAGAAGATGGAAAGATCTACCACATTTTTTGATAGACAGAATTAATACTGTAAAAATGGCCAAATAACCAAAAGCATTCTACAGAATTAATGCAATCCTCATTAAAATACCAATGACATTCTTCACAGGACTAGAAAAAAAATAGTCCTAAATTTCATTTGGAAGAATAGAAACCCAAGGGCTGGGGTTGTGGCTCAGTGGTAGAGCGCTTACTTAGCATGTGTGAGGCACTGGGTTCAATGCTCAGCACCACATATAAATAAATTATAAAAGAAAAGTCCATCTACCACCAAAAAATTTAAAAAATTAAAAAAAAAAAAAAAACAATTGAGACCCAGAATAGCCAAAGCAATCCTAAGCAAGAAGAGCAATGCTGCAGGCATCACACTACTATTGGACCTCAAATTATACTACTACAGGGCTATATTAACAAAAACTGCATGGTCTTGGCTTTAAAACAGACACAAAGACAAATGGAATACAAGACACAGACAAATCCACATACATACAATCATCCGACCCTTGACAAGGTGCCAAAAACATATTCTAGAAAAACATATGCTCTCACCCTGCAAAAAAAGTCAACTTAGAAAGGATCAGAGAACTAGGAATTAATTTGGGAACAGCATAACTACTAGAAGAAAACATAGGGTCAACACTCCAACATATCCACACAGGTATGCTGCAAACTACACTGAGATTTCATCTCACTCCAGTTAGAATGACAATCATCAAGAATACAAATAATAATACATGCTGATGAGGATGTGGGGCGAAAAGGTACCCTCACACATTGTTGGTGGAACTGCAAATTGGCACAACCACTCTGGAAAGCAATATGGAGATTTCTCAAAAGACCAAGAATGGAACAACCATATCTCTCACTCTCCCACCCTGGGTATCTGTTTAAAAGAAATAAAGTCAGTTCACTATAGCGACACATACAAATCAATGTTTATACAGCATAATTCACAATACTAAAGTTAAGGAACCAGGCTTGTTGCCTATTAACAGAAAAATGGATAAGAAAATTTGGTGTATATACATAATGGAGTTTTACTCCATAAAGAAGAATGAAATTATGACATTTGCTAGTCAATGACAGAAATAGAGAACAACATGCTAAGTGAAATAAGCAGATGCAGAAACCTTCATGCAGAAGGTTTCTGCATCTGCTTATTTCACTTAGCATGTCAAATATTTTCTCAGATATGTGGAAACTGGAGAGAAATGAGAAATTATTAAAAGGAGTATCCCATGAAAATAGAAGGGACCACAATGAGATAGAGGAAGGGGATCAAGGTAGATGCTAGAGGGATGGGAAAGGGGAGGGAGGCACTGTGGATTATAATTGGCCAAATTATGCTACATGCATATATATCAAAATGAATTCTACTTTTACGTGTTACTATAATACCCCAATTGAAAAACAGTAAAAAACATTTTTTTATTATGTCTACTGAGCACAAAAAAACATTTTGTTAATCAAGAATCTTACTAGCAATAAAAATTTAAGCATTAAAGTTGAAAGAGATATTAGCAGCAAAAGAAAATACACCTACTTTGAAAGTCACAGTTGCCTTTGTGCAGTAAAATCCTACAGAAACAATAGGATCCTTCAAAGTCTGTACTTTCTGCTGATGTATGGTTAATGTAGAATCATTCCCAGTATAGTCTTCCTCACCATCATCATAACTCACAATTGCAGGCACAAATGACCAAGCCCAGGATACCCATCCCTGTGGCTGCTCTTCATCTTGTTGTGAATACAACTCTTGGCCTTTGTACTGAGCAGGATACTGCATATCTATTCTTGTTTCATCTTCAGCACCTAGGAATCAAAATAAAGCTGATTTAAATAAATTAAGAAAACAATTTTAAAAAAGAAATCTAAATCTCATTTAAAAATCATGCATTAATATTATCATTTGAAAACAATGTCACTCTCAAGGTTTTATGTTGTACTGTGTCAGTCTTTATAAGTTAGGGTTAATGTAATATGGATAACACTTTATCAACTACACATAATTTTAAGTGTTTTTAATAAATAAAAGAATAAGATAACTTAAAGTCCCATCCACAAACACTTGCTTCTCAAAAATAAGAATAATGTGTTGAAAGACTGAAACCTAATAGCAGAATGATCCAAGTTACTCATTTCCTAATGCATCCAACTGAGAAAATGACAAGTACTTCTAGACAAAACATATCCACCAAAACAAAAATTATCCAAAAGAATAAAACTAAATGTTACAAAGAAGTAACTTTTATAGGCAGTTAAGAAAAATAATGATGTTGGTGACTCTTATTAGTGGATAAGATATATTCATACTTTTCCTATTCTAAAGATAAAAAAATTTCAGAAAAGAAACTCTATCAGTCATGAATTGGCAGACTAAAGATATAGATTCCAACCACTCATTAGTTTATTCCTAGTAAAATGTCAAATTGGAAATCATCAATTTTAAACTGATTATCAGTTATAAAACAAGAAATCAGGTCACTTCAACTCGGGAAAACAATGACCAGCTTGGGTATATAGAACTAGTCTCTAGACCCCTCTTGTCTAACCCATTAAAACTGAAGTGGTAATCACTGATTCAGGTTTGTTTGTTGAATGTTTTTTTAATTGTTGATGGACCTTTCTTTAAAATTTATTTATATGCAGTGCTGAGAATTTCAGTGCCTCACACATGCTAGGCAAGCGCTCTTAATTCATGAAGTAGAAGAGTTACTATCTTAGTAATGAGAATAAAATGGGCCTAAGCAGGGGGCTGGGGTTATGGATCAGCGGTGGAGTGCTCGCCTCACATGTGTGAGGCCCTGGGTTTGATCCTCAGCATCACATAAAAATAAATAAATAAAATAAAGATATTGTGTCCATCACAACTAAAACAAACAAACAAAAAATGGGTCTAAGCAAATGGCTATTCTGCTCCCATCTAACAAACCTACAAACAAGCCTTAAAGACTTTAACTGTTTCCAGGGAACTGAAATAATTGTTGGAACAAAAAAAAATCCAGCACCCAACAAGGCAAAATTTATAATGTCTGACATCCAATTAAAAATTATTGGGGAGTTAGATACAGACTAGTAAGTACCCACAGTCCCAGCTATTCAGGAAAATGAGGCAGGAGGATCACTTCAGCCCAAGAGTTTAAAATGAACCTGGACAACTAGCAAGACCCTGACTCACCCAAAAAAAAAAAGCCAGGCATGGTGGCTCATGCCTGTAATACAAGATACTCAGGAGGTTGAAGCAGAAGGAGAATCAGAAGTTCTAGCCAAGCCTAGGAAACTTAGTAAACCCTGTCTCAAAAAAAAAAAAAATTCAAATTCTAAAGGGCTTGGGATACACCCAAAGCACTCAGAAGTAGAGAGCTCCTGAATGCAATCTCTAGTACCACAAAGAAGGAAAAATACTAGACAAGCGAAAAAGAAGGAAAATATATTCCATACTGAGGGGAAATGTCAATCAACAGAAATGTATCCAGAATTCACAAAGATCATAGCATAAGCAAACAGAAACATTAAAACAACTATACAAATAAATGCATATGTTCAAGAAAGTGTAAACATGTTAAGGAGAGACATGAAGTATAAAATGAAACCCAAATTGAACTTCTAAAGATAAAAATAAAATATATGTATGTTTATACATTTATAAAAATTTCATATATATAAAATATATACTAGATGTGACCAACAGATTAGACACAACAAAGATTAGTAAATTTTAATTGAAATAGAAACTATCCAAAATGAAACAGAAAAATAAAATGGAAAAAAGAACATAAATAGCAACTCTCAAACATTAAGCAGAATAACATACATAGAAATGGAGTCCCTAAAAAAATAGACCAGGAAATAAAAAATTTTTGAAGACATAATGGCCAAAATTTTTACACATATAGATACATATAAACTGTAAACCCGCAGATATAAAACCTGCAACCACAAGTAACATAAAGATATAATCCTAAGGAACATCATAATGAAGATGCTTAAAACTTTCTGAGAAAAAGTTCACAGGTTTTACCAAAATGTCAAAGGAATCCCTGGCACACAACCCGAAAAAAGGTTAAGAGTCCATGCTTTAAATAATACAAGAAAACTAAGTCAAATGTCCCTGAAATCAAACAGTGGAGTTGCTTTCTTTCTCTCTTAATAAACAAGAAAAACCTAGTCATTTTCTTAGGTCACAAAAAGCAAGTTATAAAAGAAATTTGAAAATTACATTTTATCAAAATTTAAAACTTCTATTCAAGAGACACCTACTAATAAATGAAGAGGCAATGAGCTGGGGACATGTCTCAGCAATGAAGTACTTGTCTAGTGTGTGAAAGGCCTTGGGTTTGATCCCCAGTATGAGGAAAAAAAAATATTATTCCGCAAATCACAAATTGGCAAAGAAAATAATTTGAATTCAGAATAAACAAAGAACTCTTACAAACCACTAAAGAAGCCCAAAAATAGTTTTTAAAAGTTCTTAAATTTATTTAACATACATTTCACAAAGGTAGATTTATTAAAGGTCAACACGAACATGAAAAAATTCAAAATATTTACTTATGAAAGATATAGCAATTAAAACCATGAGATATCACAACACACAGATCAGAATGGCAAGAAGGAAAAATATGCTGACCCCACCATATGTTATAAAGATAGAAAGCAACTAGAAACACTCATTGTTGACAAGAATGTAAAATGGTACAACTACTTTGGAAAAAAGGTGAGGTAGTGCTATGGTTTAGGTAAGTGTCCCCCAGAGATCCACATGTTGTTAAAGGATAGCTATCCTGAGAGGCTCTATTGGGAGGTGGAGGAATCTTTAGGTAGGGTCTGGTAGAAAGATTCTGGGTAACTGAATGCATGCCTTGCAAGGGGATAGTGGGGCCTCATCCCTTCCTTTCTCTTTTGCTTCTTGTCCACCAAGTGAGCCATTTTGCTTCAACACTTGCTCCCATCAGGAAGTGCTGCTTTATGACAAGCCCAAAGCAAATGGGGTCAGTCCATCAAGGAATAAAAGCTTCAAAAGTATGAGCCAAAATATACCTTATCTAGGTATTATTAGTAGTGATGGAAACGTGTCTAATCCAGGTAGTTTTTTAAAAACCTAAAACATATAATTCTAACTCTTAGGTATTTACCAAAAAGAAAGAACAACACAACTCTACATGAAACTTTTGCAAGAAAGTTCCTGGAAACCTAATTTACAGTAGCCAAAACCTAGAAATAATTCAAAACTATAAAACCTCTGTTAATCAACAGGGAAATGGGGTGGGGGAAAGAAACGGTGGTATAGTTAGATGGTTTATTCAGACAATGTTTCTTGTAATAAGAAGGGGTAAATGACCGATACATGCAACACCCAGAAAAATTCCAAAAACATTATGCTTACTAAAAAAAAAAAAAGCTGTATCATCCCTAAATAAAAAGGAGAACAAGAAAATAACAACTCCCTAAATGCCCCTGACTGCCCCCTCTGTGTTTAAAAAAAAAAAAAAAAAAGCCAAATAAAGGGAACAGTGAGAACAAGCCTGAAAAGGAAAATCCAGCTTTCTCTTGTGCACCCTAGGAATTAGGGCAAGTTATTGTTAACTAAAGAAAGCTATTTTGTTGCATATAAGAATAATTCCTTCTTATGATGTTGGTTATGCAAGCACACTAACCCTGATGATGTCACTGCCTCTGCAGCCCTATGAAACCCCTCTCTGAGACAAAATGAGTGAATAACTCAGGGCACTGAGGAAAGGAAACTCGTTACTCATACAACCAGCCACCAGGGAACAAAGGTACTGCTTGGTGAAGCATCTTGAGAGGTGGAGGTGCTATCTGTTCAGCCTACCACCCCTGAACTCTTCTTGAAGCAGTCACTAATCTCTTGCAAGCTTTCCCCAATAAATCATATGTTTCACACATTGTCTTGAGGAACTTCCTTTGGTCTTTCTGCAACCTACCATTAATAGTGACTGGCTATTTTCACTTAAGCTTTCAGAGTATGTTCATATTGAAGCATGTATAATTTAATTCCAGCCATACAAAGCCCTGGTGCAAATGGGCTAAGAATATAACAAAAGTCTTTCACAAAAAAGTACATACTGTATGATTCCATTTATATTAAACCCTAGAATCAATCAACTAATTTATAATGTTAAAAAAAGTTAGAACAGTAGTTTCCTGAGTAGAGGCAGTCAGGTATAGGGGCGATGACTGAAAAGGAACATAAGGATCTCTTTGAAATGTTAAGAATCTATATCTTAGTGAGTGTTTTGCAAAACACAGATATATGTATTTCTCAAAACTCAATGAATAGGACTGGGGCTGTAGCTCAGTGGCAGAGTGCTTGCCTTGCACGTGGGAGGCACGTGGTTCGATCCTCAGCACCTCGTAAAAATATACACAAATAAAATAAAGGCATGCTGTCCATCTACAACTATAAATTTTTTTTAATTAGTGAATAGTATACTTAAGATTTACACATTCACTTTATAAGTTTAACCTTCCAAATAATACAAAGACCCATTAATAAACAAACTCTGGTCGACAATAGTCAATAAAGTCTTGGGGTTAAGTGCACTAGCTGTAACTTACTTTGAAAGGCAGTAAAACTATTGGTTGTATTAAAAAAGAGGGATATTAAGACCTCTGTGGTAGCAAATGTAATAAAAATAAATGGTGGAAGCTAGATAGTGAGTACATAAGTGTCCACTGTACAATAACTCAGTTTTTCTGTACATTTGAAATTTGTCATGCTAGGAAAAAAAAAATATGAATAAAGCACCTTCTATATGCTGGGTTTTGTTCCAGGTGTTAGACAATGTTCCAGTCTCAGGGGTTCATTGTCTAACAGAAACTTCACTAACAGGAATTCACTGTGAAATAAAGGGGTATTTATTTAAAGTAACTTAGTAGTTATTGTTCTTTTACTTCTTTCCAGGTAAAAATTTTTAATGACTTAATATTCAAATACTGTAAAATTTACCCTTTAAAAGTATATAATTTGGGGCTGGGGTTGGGGCTCAGTAGAATAGCACTTGCCTAGCATATGTGAAGCCCTGGGTTCAATTTTCAGCACCGCATATATATAAATAAAATAAAGGTCCATCAACAACTAAAAAATATATTTTTTTAAAAAGTACATAATTCAGTAATTTTTAGAATGGTAACAAAATTATATACCATCACTATTAATTTCAAAATATTTTCATCACCCCCAAAAGAAACCCACCTACTTGGAATTATTCTCTCCTCCTCTCAGCCCCTAGTTACTAAAGCTATTTTGTATAGAACTGCCTCTATAGAACTGCCTGTTGTACACATTTCATATAAATGGAATCATACAATCTATGTTCCTTTTTGACTGGCTAATTTCACTTAAAGTTTTCAGGGTTCATTCATATTGAAGTACAAATCAGTATTAAATTCCTTTGTATGGCTGTAGTGTAGGTATATACCATAATTTGTTTATCCATTCATCAAGTGATACATATTTGAGTTGTTTCCAGGTTGTAGTTGTTATGAATAATGCTGCCATGAATATTCACATACAAGTTTATAGCTGTGCATATATGAAATCTCTTGGTAATACCTAGGAGTGGTTATGATAACTATGTTCAACTTTTGAAAGAATTACCAGATTGTTTACTGAAACACATATCTTATTTTACATTCCCACAAACAACATATATAGGTTTCAGTTTCTCTACATCTTCAACAACACTTGTTGTTATGTCTTTTTTATTATATTCACCCTAGTAGCTGTAAAGTGGCATCTCAATGTGGTTTTAATTAACACTCCTCTCATGGGCAATGATGTTTAGTATTTTTTTTTAGTATGTGTCTGTTGGCCATCTGTCGTCCTTGGAAAAATATTTATTTGTCTACTTTAAAATTGGATTATTTGTCCTAAGTTTTAAATGCTCTTAAGGTTCTATTTCCTTTAATTATTGATTTAAATTATTCCTCACAGATCCAAAGCAAGTTAAAATTAATCATTCCTTTCATCATCCTTCTACTACAGATCATTCACATCTGTTTATCATTCTGCCACTATACCTCATCAAACTTAACTATTCATTTGGCATTAAGATTTTAAGGGAAGAGAACACATCTTATTTATCTCACATTGCTCATATATTTTCCTACACTACAAACCACACTGCCTTCCATATAGAATTTCATAAAATTGGAATGAACTGACTTGACTTGATACACTTAATATCCTTCAATGAAGTATACATGTCACTAACTATATTACAAAACTCCACTAAGTAAATGAGTAAGTTAGCCTTTGCAGAAAAATACCAATATTTTTTTTACTAGGAAATTTTAAGTTGTATCACTTTAAATATAACTATAAGTAAACATTCTCAACACTATTTTTTTACTATGCAGAAATACACACACACACACTCACACACAATGGAATATATAACTCAAACTATTGTGCTTTTTAAAGTTTTACCAGTGAAGAAAACATTTTCTAAGAATGACAATTCTATATTCAATTTTGCTGTATTTACCTGTAATGTTTCCTAACATATCTTTATTGTGACAAGCAGAATCCTCTGTTTCAACATCTTTAAAATTGCCTATTTCTCCATAGTAAAGAGCAATCCCAAGCTGCATTATACGAATAAACATAGGCAACTGCTGATCTGTGATAGAAAGTTTCAGACTTTCTACTAAGGTATGAATCTGTATTTTGAAAAACAAAAGACAACAAAAGCATGTTTAATGGGAATACCTTTTAAAATAAGAGAATAAATTTCAAAGGTATTAAAATGCAAGATCATTTGAGAAACACTGATGTACCAAATTTCTAAAAATTAAGCCAAAATAATATTTACTCTAAAGCTTACAGATTAAGTAAATTTTTGCTATAATGATTAGCAAACTTCAGATAAAAAAATGGATTAACAATGCAAACACAAATAGAATAATCAGAATATATATTTTCATTAGATTTACACATAACTATTTCATAAAAAAAAGTAACCAAATACCTACAGTATAATACTTACTCTCCCCCATGGGGGTAAGTGGGAGATCTCTGTCAAAACCAACAATGAAAATTTCATGATGTCATTTTAGTAAAACTGTAATCACTTATCCCAATTTTATTAACCAAAAAGAACACATATGCATTCTCAAACCATATGTTTGAGAATATGTAATATGTTTGAGAATAAGTAATAAAAGAATAATAACTATTTATGTATGGAAACAATAAAATTTTATTGTCAAATATAGAAAATCAAGTGAAATATGTTATAGAGTTCTTCAAATTTTAAATATATTTAAACATGACATAAAATTTGTAACATAAATCAATTATAAGAAATTGAATTAATTACTAAGAAAAAGGATATATAACATTCGAAATTCTTAAAGAAACATAATGGAATATAAACACTGCTTCAGTGTAATGGTTTCCTGCAGTTATATAAACATGAAAGAAAATCAATTAAGCCATGAAGTCAAGTCTCTTAGGCTTATTTTGACTAACTAGTATTTGAGTGTCTATGAAAAACAGGTAATGGTAATCATATTTTTATAGCTCAAGGCCCAGAATAATTATATTAGTAAGAATGAGAGAATGATATATATGGGAGAAGGGGTATAAAATACTACATTTCATATAAAGGAACAGGTCTCTTCAAACTGACCTAAAACCAATATGCTGAATAAACCATGAAGAGATCTAAAAAAAAAAAAAAATTGTGGGGAAAAGAAGTAGTAAAAGGAGTTATGTAAGCTTGCTAAGCTTTTCTTAGTTGAGATTTCTGTAACATCCTTTTATAAATAATGTGTTCTACCAACAGAACCAGCGATGAGCAATTTTAGCAAAATCAATGAACAAAGAATTTATCCTTCACATATACATTAAAAGTTCTTTAGAAATCATCAAGATGAATCCTCATTAGAAAAATGAACAAAGAACAACCTTCAAAATTCCAACTCACTAAAAAACATCAATATACTTGTGTTATTTTTTGCTCAATAGGTTAGCAATTTTTTTAAAAATATGATCACAAATAAGGCTAACAAGAGTGTCATACAAGCACTCCCCTTAATGTTCATCAAAGCATAACCTGATTAAACCTCTCTAGAAATAATTCTACAATCCCGATTACAGGTCTTAAATTTGGGGGGGGGGGGGGGGGGTTCAGGGATTGAACTCAGGGGCATTCAACCACGGAGCCAAATCCCCAGCCCTATTTTGTATTTTATTTAGATTCAGGGTCTCACTGACTTGCTGACACTGGCTTTGAACTCACCACCTTCCTACCTCAGCCTCCTAAGCCACTGTGATTACAGGCGTGCACCACCGTGCCCAGCTAAAATTTTTCTAAATATATTTACAAATATAGGAATTTATCCTAAGAAATTAATCAGAGATGTAGCCAACTATTTATCTGCAGACTTTCTATGCCTCTGAAAAGTTACAAAGTAAATTTTAGAAAGTAGAGAAAATGATAAATTATGTACCCATATGATCTGTTTCTCATAAATATAGGTCTCTATGTCATGTTTCACACAAAATATGGAAAATTATAAACACCTACCCAAAAATATAAACCAATATAATCAAAAGCTACTTAAGCATATGTGAAAGGTTTAAAAAAATTAAGATATCTGCAAATATTTGGAAATTACCCTGTCTTTGAGGTGATTAATGCATTAACTACATCTCTTTTTAACACATATTTCCTACAACTAGAATTGAAAGAATCATAGGTCTAATCAAAAATTGCAAATATTATACTAAAGTATTAATAAAAAATTTTTAAATGTATTTCACTTGCACATAATACAGTGATACCCTATATGTGGTGATTACCAGAATCAAAAACCACATTACAGAAAGCTTATTTATACTAATGTACATTTCATAGTGAAATGTTATGCAAATCAACTTTGAGAACACACAATGAGATATATCTACAGTAAGTTCTTCCTCAAGTTCACAATTTTTACTTTGCACCAATTTATCTACATCCTAGAATATAAAATTAAATTTGTACTAATGATCAATAAGATTATTTCATATAGGAAAATTTCCAGACATCCATTACCTGCTTTTTTTCAATAACACAAAAATTTATTTATTTAAAAATAAAAGTAAACTAGAAGAAAATGTCTGTAACTAATACAATTATGTTGGAACAAAAAAATCTTTAGAAACATGAAAGGCATAATCTGTAAGAAAAAAATATCAGATTAAATTACAAATTTAATGATCACATTTTTACAGCTCAAGGCCCATGGTTTCTAACTATCTTCACTGTATGATCCACTTTATTTTCCAGGTTGTTAGGCCATTAACATTCAGGGTTATTATTGAGACATGATTTGTATTCCCAGACATTTTTGCTTATTTTTGGTATTTAACATGACTTGGTTTCTCCTCCATCCATTTACCTGCAAATGCCATGATATTATTCTCTTTTATGACTAAGTAATATTCCACTGTGTATATATGCCACATTTTTTTAATCCATTCTTCTACTGAAGAGCATCTAGGTTGCTTCTACAGTTTAGTTATTATGAATTGTGCTGCTATAAATATTGATGTGGCTGTGTGTTAGAGTCTGTAAACAAGTCAAAAATAACACCTGGCATTTTGCCAGGGGAATGTTGGAGTTCCTAAACAAGTCTGGATGGTGCCTGGCAAAATGCCAGAGGGAGTGGTTTGAAAAGTAACAAAAGAGAGCCATTAAGTGTAGAGATTCCTTATTGGTTGACTGATGTATCTAGTTTATGCTAATTAGATAAGCTGTGTGGAATGTATAAATACTGCTCCTGTCCTGCAATAAACGGCTCCCACTCCTGCTGTATCAATCTACACAAGTTGTTCGTCACCCCCCCGGTTATTTTGCTGCAGCTGGACTGCGGCAGCTGTGTCCCTGTAGTATGCTGTTTTTAAGTCCTTTGGGTATAGACCGAGGAGACAGATAGCTGGGTCAAATGGTGATTCCATTCGGTTTTCCAAGAAACCTTCATACTGCTTTCCATTAGGCTGCATCAATTTGCAGTCCTACCAGCAGAGTATAAGCATACCTTTTTCCCCATATCCTCCTCTACACTTATTGTTGTTTGTCTTCATAATAGCTGTCATTCTGACTGGAGTGAGATGAAATCTTAGAATGCTTTTGATTTGCATTTCTCTAATTGCTAGAGATGACGAACATTTTTTCGTATTTTTGTTGATTGACTGTATATCATCTTCTGAGAAGTGCATCTTCAGGTCCTTGGCCCACTTATTGATTGGGTTATTTGTTTTTTTGGTGTTTAGCTTTTTGAACTCACCACGTCATATACCCTAGTGATTAGTGCTCTATCTGATGTGTGAGGGGTAAAGATTTGATCCCAAGATGAAGGCTTTCTATTCACCTCACACATTGCTTCTTTTGCTGGGAAACTTTTGAGTTTGAGTGCATCCCATTTATTGATTCTTGATTTTACTTCTTTTGCCACAGGAGTCTTATTAAGGAAGTTGGGGCCTAATCCCACATAATAGAGATTAGTACCTACTTTTTCTTCTATTAGACACAGGGTCTCTAGTTTTATTCCTAAATTCTTAATCCATTTCGAGTTGAGTTTCATGCATGGTGAGAGATGGGGGTTTAAATTCGTTTTGTTGCATACGGATTTCCAGTTTTCCCAGAACCATTTTTTAAAGAGGCTATCTTTTCTCCAATGCATGTTCTTGGCACCTTTGTCTAATAAAAGAAAATTGTAATTTTGTGGGTTAGGTTCTGTGTCCTCTAATCTGTATCACTAGTCTACCACCAGTCTGTTTTGGTAAAAATACCATGTTGTTTTTGTTACTATTGCTCTGTATTATAGTTTAAGGTCTGATATACTGATGCCACCTGTTTCACTCTTCCTGCTAAGGACTGCTTTAGCTTTTCTGGGTCTCTTATTTTTCCAGATGATTTTCATGATTGCTTTTTCTATTTCTATGAGGAATGTCATTGGAATTTTGATCAGAATTACACTAAATCCGTATAGTGCTTTTGCTAGTATGGTCATTTTGGTAATATTAATTCTGCCTATCCAAGAACAAAGTAGATCTTTCCATCTTCTAAGGTCTTCTTTGATTTCTTTCTTTAGGGTTCTGTAGTTTTCATTGTATATATGTCAGTTAAGTCTAAGTTATTGATTGTATTATTGAGTTCTACAGTTTCTTTGTTCAGCTTTTGTTTGGAAGATGTATCTAGTGATGAAAGAGGTGTGTTAAAGTCACCCAAAATTATTGTGTTGTGATCTATTTGACTCTTGAACTTGAGAAGAGATTGTTTGATGAACGTAGATGTTCCATTGTTTGGGGAATATATATTTACAACTGTTAATTTTTGTTGGTGTATGGTTCCATTGAGCAGTATGTAGTGTCCTCCTTCTTTATCCTTTTTTTTTTTAAATATTTATTTTTTAGTTCTCGGCGGACACAACATCTTTGTTTGTATGTGGTGCTGAGGATCGAACCCGGGCCGCACGCATGTCAGGCGAGCGCGCTACCGCTTGAGCCACATCCCCAGCCCCTCTTTATCCTTTTTGATTGACTTTAGTTTGAAGTCTACTTTATTTGATATGAGGATGGAAACCCTTGCTTGCTTCCACAGTCCATGTGAGTGGTATGATTTTTCCCAACCCTTCATGACCTTCAGTCTGTGGATTTCTTTTTCTATGAGATGAGTTTCTTGGAAGCAGCATATTTTTGGGTCTTTTTTTTTTTTTTTTTTTAAATCCAATCTGCTGTACTATGTCTTTTGATTGGTGAGTTTAGGCCATTAACATTCAGGGTTATTATTGAGACATGATTTGTATTCCCAGACATTTTTGTTTATTTTTGGTATTTAAAGTGACTTGGTTTCTCCTCTTAGGTTTTCCTTTAGTGTAATCCCTCCCTCTGCTGATTTTCATCATTGTGTTTCATTTCCGCTTCTTGAAATATTTTGCTGAAGATGTTCTGTAGTGCAGGCTTTCTAGTTATAAATTCTTTTAACTTTTGTTTATCATAGAAGGTTTTTATTTCATCATCAAAAGCTTAGTTTTGCTAGATATAAGATTCTTGCTTGCTATCCATTTTATTTGAGAGCATGGTATATGTTGTTCCATGATCTCCTGGCTTTCAGGGTCTGGGTTGAGAAATCTGTTGAGATATGAATTGGTAGCCCCCGTATGTGATCCAATTCCTCTCTCTTGCGGCTTTTAAGATTCTATCCTTATTCAGTATGCTAGGCGTTTTTATTATAATGTGACTTGGTGTAGACCTGTTGTAATTTTGTACATTTGGTGTTCTGTAAGCCTCTTGTATTTGGTTTTCCAATTTGTTCCTCATGCTTGGGAAATTTTCTGATATTATCTCATTGAATAGAATGTGCATTCCTTTGGTTTGAAACTCTGAACCTTCCTCTATCCTGATAAATCTTAGATTTGGTCTTTTGATGCTGTCCCATAACTGTCCCATAATTCTTGGATGTTCTGTTCATGGTTTCTAACTATCTTCACTGTGTGATCCACTTTATTTTCCAGGTTGTATAATTTGTCTTCATTACCTAACATTCTTTCTTCCAAGTTATCTAGTCTATTGGTTATGCTTTCTATTGAGTTTTTTATTTAATTTATTGTATCCTTCATTTCAAGGATTTCTGACTGGTTGTTTGTTTTTGTTGTTGTTGTTGTGGTTGTTTTTTCAGAGTCTCTATCTCTCTCTTGAAGTAATCTTTTGCTACCTGTATTTACTCTCTTTTCTCATTGTTGGAGTGATCAATTTTTGCCTGTATTTGCTCATTTAGGTAATTCTTTAATTCAGAGACCATTTTAATTATGAACCTTCTGAACTCCTTCTCTGACATTTCATCAACTTCACTGCCCATGGGTTCTGTTATTATAGTGTTTGGGGTACTTTCCTCCCTTGTTTTTTCACGTTGTCTATGTGTCTTCCTTTCTTGCAATGTGGATCTGAGATATTATAGTTTGTTCCCTATATTCTTACAGTACCTGTACAAATTGTCTGTATCTCACCTTGATGTTGGGCTTCTGGACCCTGCTGGTGTTCCTCAATGGATGCTACTGCATCCTGGATCTGGTTCCTATACAAGCTGGTGTGGGTGGATCTGGGACAACAGGCTTAATCTCCAGTGGTAGTCTGCTGGTTGGAAAAGACAGTCCTGCACCAGAGGCTAGGCTCTGGCGGGTGACTGACCCGCCAGTGGAGGGGTGAACCAGGCCTTCTGAGAGCCTGGGTCCCAGGTGGGCTGGTGTGGGCATTCTGGGCTGGATTTCAACCATTACCTGCTTTCAAAATGTATTTTAAATGTACCTTCTCATTCCTTCTCATTCTCCAGATTAGTAAAACATTCAAGGCTAAAAAAAGTAAGCTTAGTTAACATTTTTTCATACCTATATTTGCCAAAGAAACAAATTCAAAAATAGAAGGAAAAAATAATAGTTTTGAAAAAAACATGGTAGAAGATAAAAGTAACATAAAGATGGCTGAAAAACAAATAGATTTTATTTAGAGATAAAATGTATGGTAAAGCTACATAATGAAAATATGTTTTAATAAATTATGTAAAAATCAATATTTATATAGGCACACAAAAGCAGGAAATACTATTATTGTTCAGAGTTAGGGCCAGTCCTCCTATCACAGAACTATGGTAATCAGAGGCAAGTAATTCAATAATAAAAATGTATCCCACATTGAAACTTAGTTAATAAGCTCAAAGTTATTGTGTGAATTCGTCCAAGAAAAATAGGCAGCAGGACAATATTCATAAAACAATTAAGTAACAAAATATGACGGAATTTATACTTATATACCACACTGAAAATATATACCGCTACCTTAAAGACCAACAAATTTTCATGTTAATCAAAAGACATGTCCTGAAAAACTCCCACACTGTAAAATTTTAATTATATATTGAAATCATGGATCAAAACATAAAACTTCTGAAACCAACAAACTATAAAGTTAGCAATATAAAGCCTTATAAGATTATCTAAGAAAAAGAGAAAATAACTATTGTTAACTAATCATGCTGAAGAAATTATAAGAATTAAAATATAGATTCCTGATATTCGGACCACTATGAGTATACATTTCTCTGTGTGGTATTGAAAACTGAACCCACAATCTCATGTTTTGTTTTGTTATTTTAATTTTTCTTAGTTATATACAACACCAGGACAAACCCTGATATTATCACAAAAACATGGAACACATCACTAGAATTCAGTCCCTAGTAATTCCCCCTCATCCCTTCACTCCCCCCTCCCCACTGATACCTCTTCAATCCATTTACAGTTTCCTATTTTTTTTTTTAATTAGTGTCCTATGGATACACCTAATGCCCAGACCCACCATGCTATATCCAAATCATGCTATTTTTTCTTAAGATCTCTTCTATCAACTTGAAGAGAAACATTAATAAATAGCTAAACTTAAAAATGGAAATTATAACTATACAAAACAAAAAGATTGTCCCCAAATATCTCTAATATAACACATAGAAAAAATTATAAATATAAAAATTATGAATACACAAAAACTTTATAAAAATGAATGCCATATATATTCATGAGATTAATTTTTTCTTGTCTTTTCTTTGTGCATGTAAGCATGTACAAGATCCAATAAATAAAAGAGACTTGTTTATTTAATTACAGAAAAAGAGACACTTACTTTAATAACAGATGGCATCTTGGAATTTAGGTTATCATATGTAAAATGTAGACGAGTTCTGAAGGAACATTTGTACAGTAAAGGATCCTGGTAAAATTCTATTTTACCACTGGCATTTCGTTTATCAAGACAAACTGTACAGTCAGAAAAATTGATAACCTTTCTTAGCACCAGATCAGTTGCTACAAAGAAAAGAAAAACACTTTAATTATAAATGAAAATTAGAAGAAAAGGGCAACTATTAATCATTAGTACAAGTAGCAATTAAAATAATAAATACAGCAAAATAATATTCATGAAACATTTAATGCATGTCATATACTATGAAAAGAATTTGTCATGTTTTATATCATTTTAATATTCCAACAATTGCATTAAATAGGAAAAAATATGTGTATAAAGAATCTGAGGCCTAAGTAGACTGCCCCCTAAGTAGACTGCATGACAAGTATCCAAAACTGAAGACAAAAAGTAGAAAAATATTCACCATAGTTCTTTCCTACAATAATATAATAACATCCTTGAGAACCCAAATCTGAAATAAACTTCTGAACAATAGCCACTCATTTAGTATTTGTATAGCCACTAAAAAGCCACTGCTACTTTAAACCCACATTGTTCAATGATAGCCAACAGCTGTGGCTATTTAAACTTACGTTTAAATTATTGTAAAAGACAATTGTAAATAGGGCTAGCATTTAACAAGCACTCATTAATGAAAGACATTTTTTATTTATTCTAATTTGTTATATGTAACAGCAGAATGCAATTCAATTCATATTATACATACAGGGCATAATTTTTCATGTTTCTGGTTGTTCACAAAGTACAGTCACACTGTTTGTGACTTCATTCGTGTACTTAGAGTAATGATGTCTAACTCATTCCACCATTTTTCCTACCCCCATAATTCCTCCCATTCCCTCCCTCCCCTTTGCCCTATCTAAAGTTCATCTATTCCTCCCTTGGTCCACCCCCATCCCCATTATTTATCAGCATTTTTATATCAGAGAACACATTTGGCATTTGGTTTTTTCGTACTGGCTTACTTCACTTAGCATGATATTCTCCAACTCCAACCATTTACCTGCAAATGTCATGATTTTATTCTCTTTTAATGCTGAGTAATGTTCCATTGTATATATACACAAAAGTTTCTGCATCCATTCATTACTGACAGGCTTCTAGGTTGGTTCCACAGTTTAGCTATTGTGAATTGTGCTGCTATAAACATTAATGTGGCTGTGTCCCTGTAGTATGCTATTTTTAAGTCATCTGGGTATAAACCAAGGAGTGAGATAGCTGGGTCCATTCCATGTTTTCCAAGGAATCTCCATACTGCTTTCCAGATTGGCTGCACCAATCTGCAGTCCCACCAGCAATGTATGAGTGTGCCTTTTCCCTCACATGCTCACCAACACTTAATGTTTGTTTACTTAACAACTACCATTTTGACTGGAGTGACATGAAATCTTTTTTTTTTTTTATTGTTCGTTGTTCAAAACATTACATAGTTCTTGATATATCATATTTCACACTTTGCTTCAAGTGGGTTATGAACTCCCATTTTTAGCCCATATACAGGTTGCAGAATCACATCAATTACACATCCATTGATTTACATATTGCCATACTAGTGTCTGTTGTGTTCTGCTACCTTTCCTATCCTCTACTATCCCCCCTCACCTCCCCTCCCCTCCCCTCTTCTCTCTCTACCCCCTCTACTGTCCTTCATTTCTCCCGCTTGTATTATTTTTCCCTTTCCCTTCATTACCTCTTGTATGTTCTTTTGTATAACCCTGAGGGTCTCCTTCCATTTCCATGCAGTTTCCCTTTTCTCTCCCTTTCCCTCCCACCTCTCATCTCTGTTTAATGTTAATCTTCTTCTCATGCTCTTCGTCCCTACTCTGTTCTTAGTTACTCTCCTTATATCAAAGAAGACATTTGGCATTTGTTTTTAGGGATTGGCTAGCTTCACTTAGCATAATCTGCTCTAATGCCATCCATTTCCCTGCAAATTCTATGATTTTGTCATTTTTTAATGCAGCGTAATACTCCATTGTGTATAAATGCCACATTTTTTTAATCCATTCGTCTATTGAAGGGCATCTGGGTTGGTTCCACAGTCTTGCTATTGTGAATTGAGCTGCTAAGAACATCGATGTAGCAGTGTCCCTGTAGCATGCTCTTTTTAGGTCTTTAGGGAATAGACCAAGAAGGGGAATAGCTGGGTCAAATGGTGGCTGCATTCCCAGCTTTCCAAGAAATCTCCATACTGCTTTCCAAATTGGCTGCATCATTTTGCAGTCCCACCAGCAATGTACAACTGTACCCTTTTCCCCACATCCTCGCCAGCACTTGTTGTTGTTTGACTTCATAATGGCTGCCACTCTTACTGGAGTGAGATGGTATCTTAGGGTGGTTTTGATTTGCATTTCTCTGACTGCTAGAGATGGTGAGCATTTTTTCATGTACTTGTTGATTGACTGTATGTCCTCCTCTGAGAAGTGTCTGTTCAGGTCCTTGGCCCATTTGTTGATTGGGTTGTTTGTTATCTTATTCTCTAATTTTTGGAGTTCTTTGTATACTCTAGATATTAGGGCTCTATCTGAAGTGTGAGGAGTAAAGATTTGTTCCCAGGATGTAGGCTCCCTATTTACCTCTCTTATTGTTTCTTTAGCTGAGAAAAAACTTTTTAGTTTGAGTAAGTCCCATTTGTTGATTCTAGTTATTAACTATTGTGCTATGGGTGTCCTATTGAGGAATTTGGAGCCCGACCCCACCGTATGTAGATCGGAGCCAACTTTTTCTTCTATCAGACGGCGTGTCTCGGATTTGATATCAACCTCCTTGATCCATTTTGAATTCACTTTTGTGCATGGCGAGAGAAAGGGATTCAGTTTCATTTTGTTGCATATGGATTTCCAGTTTTCCCAGCACCATTTGTTGAAGATGCTATCCTTCCTCCATTGCATGCTTTTAGCCCCTTTATCAAATATAAGATAGTTGTAGTTTTGTGGATTGGTTTCTGTGTCCTCTATTCTGTACCATTTGTCCACCTGCCTGTTTTGGTACCAGTACCGTGCTGTTTTTGTTACTATTGCTCTGTAGTATAGTTTGAAGTCTGGTATCGCTATACCACCTGATTCACAATTCCTGCTTAGTGTTGTTTTTGCTATTCTGGGTCTTTTTTTTCCATATGAATTTCATGATTGCTTTCTCTATTTCTACAAGAAATGCCATTGGGATTTTGATTGGCATTGCATTAAACCTATAGAGAACTTTTGGTAATATCGCCATTTTGATGATGTTAGTTCTGCCTATCCATGAACAGGGTATATTTTTCCATCTTCTAAGATCTTCTTCTATTTCTCTATTTAGGGTTCTGTAGTTTTCATTGTATAAGTCTTTCACCTCTTTTGTTAGGTTGATTCCTAAGTATTTTATTTTTTTTGAAGATATTGTGAATGGAGTGGTTGTCCTCATTTCCATTTCAGAGGATTTGTCGCTGATATACAGGAATGCCTTTGATTTATGCGTGTTGATTTTATATCCTGCCACTTTGCTGAATTCATTTATTAGCTCTAATAGTTTCTTTGTAGACCCTTTTGGGTCTGCTAGGTATAGAATCATGTCATCTGCAAATAGTGATAATTTAAGTTCTTCTTTTCCTATTTTGATGCCTTTAATTTCTTTCGTCTGTCTAATTGCTCTGGCCAGTGTTTCGAGAACTATGTTGAACAGAAGTGGTGAGAGAGGGCATCCCTGTCTTGTTCCAGATTTTAGAGGGAATGCCTTCAGTTTTTCTCCATTCAGAATGATGCTAGCCTGAGGCTTAGCATAGATTGCTTTTACAATATTGAGGTATGTTCCTGTTATCCCTAGTTTTTCTAGAGTTTTGAACATAAAGGGATGCTGTACTTTGTCGAATGCTTTTTCCGCATCTATCGAGATGATCATATGGTTCTTATTTTTAAGTCTATTGATGTGGTGAATAACATTTATTGATTTCCGTATATTGAACCAGCCTTGCATCCCAGGGATGAATCCTACTTGATCATGGTGCACAATTTTTTTGATATGTTTTTGTATCCGATTCGCCAGAATTTTATTGAGGATTTTTGCGTCTAGGTTCATTAGAGATATTGGTCTGTAGTTTTCTTTCTTTGAAGTGTCTTTGTCTGGTTTAGGTATCAGGGTGATGTTGGCCTCGTAGAATGAATTTGGAAGTTCTCCCTCTTTTTCTATTTCCTGAAGTAGCTTGAAAAGTATTGGTATTAGTTCCTCTTTAAAGGTTTTGTAAAACTCTGCTGTATACCCATCCGGTCCTGGGCTTTTCTTAGTTGGTAGTCTTTTGATGGTTTCTTCTATTTCCTCAATTGATATTGGTCTGTTTAGGTTGTCTATATCCTCCTGACTCAATCTGGGCAGATCATATGACTTAAGAAATTTATCGATGCCTTCACTATCTTCTAATTTATTGGAGTATAAGGATTCAAAATAGTTTTTGATTATCTTCTGTATTTCTGAAGTGTCTGTTGTGATATTGCCTTTTTCATCCCGTATGCTAGTAATTTGAGTTCTCTCTCTTCTTCTCTTTGCTAGCATGGCTAAGGGTCTGTCGATTTTGTTTATTTTTTCAAAGAACCAACTTTTAGTTTTGTCAATTTTTTCAATTGTTTCTTTTGTTTCGATTTCATTAATTTCAGCTCTGATTTTAATTATTTCTTGCCTTCTACTTCTTTGGCTGTTGTTTTGCTCTTCTTTTTCTAGGATTTTGAGATGAAGTATGAGATCATTTATTTGTTGGTTTTTTCTTTTTTTAAGGAATGAACTCCAAGCAATGAATTTTCCTCTTAGAACTGCTTTCAATGTGTCCCATAGATTCCAATATGTTGTGTCTGTGTTTTCATTAATCTCTAAGAATTTTTTAATTTCCTCCTTGATGTCTTCTATAACCAATTGATCATTCAGTAACCTATTGTTCATTCTCCAAGTGATGTATGCTTTTTCCTTCCTTCTTTTATCGTTGATTTTCAGTTTCATTCCATTATGATCAGATAGGATGCATGGTATTATCTCTACTCCTTTATATTGTCTAAGAGTTGCCCTGTGACATAATATATGATCTATTTTTGAGAAGGATCCATGTGCTGCTGAGAAAAAAGTGTAACTGCTTGAT